ACGTTTAAAAATAAATTTGATTCTAAAACGATAAAATTATGAATTAAACATATTTAGTAATATATTACCTGAGGGAATTGTGATATAAAATAAATACCAGCAACATCCACGTCACCACGATACGCTGCGCATTCTAATGCACTGTTGTACCCAGCCATCACAGCGGCAGAGTGTTCTCCTATATAAAAATATTATTAATATTATAAATATTAATAATAATATTAATATTATTAGGTTAATAAAATATTAGTTTAATTTTGATGATTAATAGGATAATGTTTATTTAATTTATTCAGGATAATAACTAAAAAAATGACAATTTTTTTAAGTTTTGAAATAAGAGATTAATATACAACTTTGACATTTAAGTAAACGTAGTTAAAATAATTAAGTAAAAATTAACATAATTTATAATAATTTATATTAGATTTAATGATATAATTTTATTTACACCAAAAAAGTCAACTCAATTAGAATTCATAGAATTGAAATGCGTAAGTGCCTACGTAATCCTTATCTTGATTTGCAATCAAGCGCTTACCAAACGCAAGCAACATGACGACAAAGGTTACGATTTTAAAACGAGTTGCGAGACTGGTCTTCGAAATCCGCCGATGTTTCGAGGTGAATTCACGTTCCAATTTTTCCCAAGTTAACGCTAGGCAAGGCCAATGCATTGCCAATCGTATAAACATGACTGCAGTTATCAGAGTCGTAAGAAAGAAAACGAAAGTCGCTGGTAATTAAGATAAATATCATTTAGAAACAATGGAAAATGTTGTGTTTTTTCATTCAATGTTACTTGTATTTATAACGAGACTTACTCATTTTTGTAGAATTTACTCCCGAGGTAACCAAACGATGAATATTGGTGACTGTCAGGATAGACGTTCCTACAATAATGCTCATTGCGTAAAAGATTTTCGGATGGTACCATGTAAATCTGCAGAACATTCATGAAGACTCATGAGAATTTCGATTAGAAAAAATGTTTAAAAATCTGAGAATGTTAAAAGGAGCGAATAATAAACAATTCGTGTTCATTTCAATCAATATAGATTATTTTAATCTCGATTTAACTTTTTGTCTTCTTCTAATTCTAAAAATTAGAAGAAGATAAAGAATAAAATAAATCAAGATTAAAGCCTACATTAAAATGGGAGAAAGTTTATTTCTACTAATATAAGATAGATTAACTTTAATTTCAATTTAATTTACTATTTATCTTTATAAATAAAAAAATCAAGATTAAAACTAATTGATAGTGATAGAAATGGATATCTTATTTTTATTAATGTAGATTAACTTTAATTTTGATTTAACTTATTCTCTATTTTTTATTAATTTTTTTTTTTTTAGAATTAGAAGAGGATAAAAAATAAGTTAAACAAAAATTAAAGTCGATCTACATTGATAGAAAGGGACATCGATCAGATATCCGCAAACCATTTCCGCCTACCGAAGATACGAGGCATCCGGTTTATTGACACCGCACACCGGAAACATGCCAAAGCATTGGGCTAGTAAAATAATCGGTCTCATGGCTGCGTGCAGACTATCAGTGGAAGGATTAAAAATATCTGACGAAGGCACAACAGAAGCCAGCACTGAAAACCATCACAATGACGGAATAAATTTACAAATTATAATTAATTTACAAATTTTATGCAAATATTCAGGTCAAGGCCGAACTTACTTTCGGGCACTACCATATCGGTCTTCATGGAATCGAATTTATTGTTGCGTAAGTTTTTGGGCGATCTGAAAAGAACTCCTCTTACTTTGTGGATATATCGCGATTTCTATTACTGCTCGCCAAATCATATAATCAAATAATTTACAATTTGATATAGCCATGATAGGCTGAGTGCGTCTTTAAAAACAGAGTACATTTAACGAGTAAAAATAAAATACGCATTTCTTTTGCTATTAAGTCAGGATATTTTATCGATTACCATACTTTTAGTATTCAGTAAAATACATTGACATTTAAACTTTATTATTCAAATTAATCAAATAAAGAACAGAATGTGCTAACGCAAGATTTTAGTAGCAAAATAATATTTTATTCTGTAATATAAATAATAATTATAAACATTGTATATACCTACAGAATAAAATATCTTTATCTTGTTACTAAAATCTTGCATATTGTGGCACATGCCCTTTATTTAATTAATTTGAATTATTAGCCACTTAAACTTCTTTATTATTCAATTTTTTGAAGCAATGAAATCAAAACAATTCAGATTCGCGATTTTCTTCAATATTAAGACATTTCTTGGCAAATAAAAAAATATAAGCCAATTATGATTTGATTAATTAATTTCATCCGTTTACAGAGAATATGAGTTTTGCTTCTTCTCCCTCGTTGTACTATATATTCTTCGCTTAATACTCATTTGCACCAGATTAGGACGACTTTTTTCTTCGACGCAGCAGATTTATCACTCGGAAACGCACCTTGCACGACGCACGCCGCGGCTTACGGTGTGCACAGAACACGATCGCATGACGGATAGAAGATAGAACTCGTTATTTCTGAACTTTATCAACGATGAGGTGGCAGGGTGAAGGGAGCTTTATAAACTTCGCAGGTTCAATAAATGTCCACTTCGGACAGCCAGTGGAAACTCGAGGCTGCTGAGGCCTCGTCCTCGACAACGAGGCACGAGAAACTCGCGACCATGTACGAAGAGGGAGAAATACGCACCTTTGAAAAATGTATCTGACGTCATCGTCACGTATGATATTGGATGGAAAATAATTGAATTTACATAATTCGCCGCATGTCTATTCTTAAGAATTTTGAAGACTCAACTTTCCTCGATTCACTATCTAGATTTATAAATCAGTCGTAAAAAAAAATAATTCTTATTTACTTTTTTCTTTTACGGTTTTCGAAAACAATAAAGAGAAGTCATTTTATTTTTTAACAAAACGCTGCGTTTAGTTTTATAATTATTTTCAAGCTTAAGGAAAGCCATAAAAATTAAATCATTTTATTTATTTATTAATTCCAACATTTTAAATACATGTCATCGAACTTTTTCAGAATCTCACATTACTTTTAAATATTATAAAATATTTATTACAATATTTATGTAATATAGAAAATCTATCTTCGAAATATATTTAATTATTAAATAGGAAAATATGTAATATATAAATAATTATATGTTGTTCTGTTATGCGAAATAAAAGTGCAAAGTTATTCTGCATAACCTTTTATATATTTTTCATAGAATAATGACAGTGAAAGTGTTCGTGTAATACGATCGTTTAAATAATTAGTCCGATGTCACTCCTAACAATCGATCATCCCAAGCTTCGAAAAGACAATCGACAAATCAAGGTGAGAAAACCTCGGCACGCAAAACTTGTGTAACAGCTCGAAACAATTTACATCGCACGGCATTCAGTTTTATCATTTGCGATTATAGAATAACATGTCTAACATTATAATAATATTTAATATGCATAATAAAATATGAATTTTATATAATATAATATTATTATAAAAAAGAAATCCATACAACATAATGATGTGTTAAAATTAAAAAAATAGCAAACATCGAGAAAAACAGTAATTACATGATATTCATGTAACGTGAAAAAAGATTAGTCATGATTAATTTCAATGTGAGTTTTGTGAATAGTGCGACCATTAGCCGAGAATATTCGAATCATTGAATTGAAATGTTTACACACAGTTGTCTTTGTTGAAGAAAGGGCGTTTATTTGCGAATCATAATTGATAAATCGATTTTTATTATGCAGAGTGCTCGTTAGTCAACTCTCTTTTCGTTCTTAGAAATTTATTTTGTAATTATTGCACTTGTTCTTTATTTAAATCCATTAAATTAAACCAATCAAATTTAATAATATGATAAATAAAAACATCCAGATCAAATTAATGTTCGAGTGCCCATTCATGCGTTGAGCGATAAATTTTAGATTTTACTGGTATAAAATAATTATTGAGCGGATACATCAATATTAACATTTGAAACGCTGTTTCTTATAACAAAAGAAATACATCGCCAAAAATTCAGTGTGTATAATTTATGTTACTTACTGAACATTAATCATATTAGGTTGCCAAGATTTTCCAATGGTCCATTGAGGATAAAACATATCGCTGACACTTTTTTTCTCATTCATCTCTATTACACGTGTTAAAATTTTCCAAATGGTGGATAACATCGGATGGTTTCAGAGCTTCTCTCCTAAAGTCAGATCAGCATACGTTTCTATACAAGATTGTACAAACGAGTTGTTGCGTATAATCTAATTAAGGATGTATTAAAAACAGCTTTCACAAATGAAAAATAATTGTGAAATTGGCAAGAGTAAACGAAGATGAAACCATAGACGTAATAAAAATAGACTGTCACGTGAAAAAAAGAATTTTCTTCGTTATACCTAATCTTGATTTGTTAAAATATATTTGTTACCATAACTATAAATTTAAAAACTATGGCGAAATGGTTTGCTATTGCTGCTATAATATATATATCATAGCTAAGACATTAGCTATGATATCCACATTTTAGCTGTCCATATTTTATACCTACCATTTAGTCACACCTAGTTTTTAGTTACAACAGTTACTTTTTTTTTCCCGTCTATTACGTATCGAAAATCTACTTTGCATCGAAAGCCTATATACAGAAAAAATACTACATAGAAAGAGAGAAATAACAAAAAATATTTCTTTCTTTCTCTAAAATGTCGAAGAGAGATCTTTAATTCTTTCTAATGCAACACAGACACTAAGGCCGATATTCAAAATTGGTTCTTATATTTAACACCGTCTTAAGCAATCTTAAGATACCATGAATCAATTGCAGAACAGTATATTAACATCTTAAAACATTACTTAAGATCTTGAAACAAGAATGAATTATGGATATCGACCTAAAGATTAAGGAATGCGCAGCCTGTATGTCTATGGATGGAATTATGTATTGTGAGAAACAACTAAAAAATAAAATTTTATTTATATTTCCTACAAAGCATAAAAATATAAAAAAGTAAAAAATTAAAGAAAATAGACAGGAATCCGTTTTGTAAGATCCAATTCTCAATTTAGTGAGAAAAATAAAAATATATTTGAACCCATCCTTTTGATGATTCGCCATTAAAATCGCGTAAAATTGAATTAACGCTAAAAAAAAAAGGAAAAAGTATAGATGGTTATAATTTTTTTTCAAAAGAGCGATAGATAATTTATGAGCGTGGCGTTAATTTACAAAATAACATTTCGTCAGTCTTTTAATTTACGTTTATGTTTTTTTTAACGAATACGTAGTTGGAGAGTGCGCGGTAGGATAGGACAATGAGGTGCGAGACGCAAAACAATATCGCCTACCACGTTCGGACGTACACTGACAGGCGTGGTGGGAACCCCCTATAACTTATGCGCTTATTGTCTCTATCCTGCATGTAATCTTTGCTTGCATAGGCCAGAGAAATAACAGCCTCCAGCGCAGTGTAGTGATTCTTGTATTTGTGTGAGAATGAAGGCGGCGATTTGACATACCTGACACGCGCCACCTTCATTGTCGCATGTAACAAAAAGGTATTCAACTTGTTTGCGATTTATATACGATGCAGCAATTCTCCTTCTTAAAAGTGAGCACGTGCGACGTTTCACATATACACTTCCGGTACTTTGTATGAATTTTTCGACAAAAAGATTTTCCGAGGAAAATTTGAAAATTTTAGAAAATAAATTCGGCAGACAGAAGTCGTTGCATTTATACTGGCTTGTCAAAAAAGTTCTTCCACAAAAACTAATTATTAATAATTTCCAAGGAGAAATAAGAAAGTCAAAATAATATTAGATTGACTAAATCATGACAAAAACCTGATATAAATTCGGTCGATAATCGATGTCAAATTGACATTGCATATTGTTTCTAAATAAATTTGTTCGTCAAAATTATTTTTGGAAAGTAATTCTACAGAATTTTTTTTTTTACAACTCGATATCTTGATCATATCTGAATGAGATAGAAATCATAGATGAAAATCAGGATATTAAATTATTGAATACCTACGTGAGACAAGTCAATCGAATATCGAGTAGTCGTAATAAGCGCATTAATCGTGCGCCAGCCTCGAGTGTTCGATAAAAACTAACATGAGTGATAATAGCCGCTTCGTGGAAAACGTCAACCCTTAGGATTAGACGTACATACACGTGGAAACGCGAGTTTTTATGCTATTTACTCAATACCTTTGACGACCTGTTATATACATCAAATAAGAGTATGCATTCATCATGCCTTTCACTCTCGCTATCAAGGATGCACCTGAGACTCGCGAAACTGATAAGCTTGATGTCAATGCAAATGTCAACTGTGTTCTTGAAATTTCTAAACAACTGATATGTAGCAAATCTTGATTACCAACGAAATTGTTATGTTTTGCATTATTAAATATAATCGTTTTAAAATTCAAGAAAAAATTCGTATAATTATGAAATAATGTTTGCGTTACAATTACTGAGAACTAACAATATTAAAATTACTTTTTGTTAATTCGTCTACAAGAAAATGAATTAACAAAAAAGAAAGAAAAAGAGAAAAAAAATCATAAAAATATAACGATTCACGTAAAAAAGAAGTAGATTGAAATTCGAATTTGATACGATACCAATTTTATTTATACGAAACAGAGATTCTTTAACGAGATTCTATTTTTTTTTTGTTATAATTGCTAAGAATTAACAATGAAACTATGATTTCGTTAATTTTTCTACGAGTAAATAGATTAACTGAGAAGAAAAAAAGATATACATATTAAAATGATTCGCTTATAAAAGTTAAAGAAATAGCTACAGAGATTCAAGCTGTATAACAATAAAGATTTTATTTATATAAAACAGATTCCTTGGGGCGACTGAGATCCTATTTCTTTCTTTTTCTTTTTTTCGAGTGTATTTAATGCGGCGACATTTAAAAGTGCGGAAACAGCAACCGCATATCGGCGATAGTTTGCTGCCACATTTTGCGGAGGACGTCGAGCTCTCATCATTGAAATGGGTCACTCGGCATATTTTCTCTTTCTCTCTCTCTCTCTCTCCCCCCTCTCGTACGCTGACAGAAGTACGCGACGATGCTGTCTTTGTTCTATCCTCTCACGGGCATTTTCCCGGACGATGCGCACGTGGACGGTCTCGTCTTCCTGACAAGCTGTGCAAACGGAATTTTCCCATTGTTCCGCCACCTGCCACCGTCACCCCGGTGCGTAGCACAGTATGCGCGCATACTTTCCGCATGCAAGCGCATGCTGCGGTTTGTCCCGCAAACCGCGGCCTACTTTAATATCCTCCCTTTATAAATTATGCACGTGAGAGCCGATAGATTCGCGCTTACCGCGAGACCACCTCATCGTTTAATAGCTGTTGCGTTCGAGGGAGCAATTCGCGATAACGTCGACCATCGTCACCGCGTTAAAATGTATCGTGCCGATACACACCTTGGGGAAAAAAATTATCCAACTTCTCTGTCTC